TCCAAAATCACACGATAAATACATTTTTTAAGCTTGTAAGGGACGAAGACAGGCACCGCTCCCTCGCAATCTGCTCTTCCGCAGCGCCGCCCCCCTCCCTCCGGCTGAAATTATGAATGTAAGAGTATAGTAATCATAGATAACACGGCAGGGTCCGTTACAGTTTGTTTTCATCTGATTTCAATTAAACAAAGTCTTGGCTTTCAGAATATTAAACTTGTTTCGGCAAATTCAGGTGATAAATACAACTTTGAAGCTTGTAACGGCATAATTACAAGCGGAGAACGGAGTAATTTAACGTCACTGCAGGCATAACAACAGCCGGTGTTTCTCGTGAGTGTTTTCCCCGGGAAACAAACACAATACACACAAACGCAAAATTACACAAACACACACACATATACACACACACTCGCGAGCTTCCCCTCCAAATGAAAATATCTTCCCTCCGTAGTATTTTGATAATTTGCTCCGCTCAGATCGATGGATTCCAGAGAAGAGGAAACTTTAAAGGACTTTTTCTCAAAATGATGACTCGGTGACAGTCATTATATAATGTGACATATTTCGCTTAATATTTGGAGTACAAAAACAATCCTGATATCATTAGAAAGCTAGGAATAGCTAAGAGAGGCTGTCAAGCTTTGGGAGGAAAAACCTGACGAATGTGACGAGGATGAGATGGAGGCAATCTTGGAGCCATTCAAGTTTAGGTTTGAACATATGGAAGACATGTGGACCTTCTTAAACGAGATCAGAGAAAAAAGAGGGTATCTGGCATTCTGCGAATGCATTTATGTTGTTTGAATAAAGGGCAACAGGAAGTTGGAACACTTTGTCAGTTTTTGTGTGTTTTGCTTTGTTTTGTTTTTCAATGAAGCATTTGATAATTCACCTTGATTATACCATGAACACCACAGAGGAATGTTGGTTTACTTTAAGATAAGCCTTTTATTGTCTCCCGCATCACACCACAAGGGCAATTAAGGAGTCCATCAAGGGGATCTAGCAGAAAAAAATAACTACCAAATATGAAAATAATTGACATTTTAATACACAATGGAATCTAAAATGGATATAATTTCTAGCAAATTGTTTAATATGCAGATTCTTAATCCAATAGTGCAGTAAAGGGAGAAATAAAGTATGTAGAAGTGAAGTGAAACAGTCTATTGTAATAGCAAACAGTAATTAGACTATAGAGCTGTAAGTAACATAATTATACATAACATTTTCAGGCTTATGACATAAATAAGAGGCTAATAATTTTAAGAAAATAAATATGGTTTTAACTAACTTCTACTGCCCTCTTAAGTGGTGTCATGCTGACATAGTTAAAATATGTATCATACAAGTAGACAAATCATCTTGTTATATCAAATACCCACAGCTGTCGGTTAATCATATCATCTGTAGTATATCGTCTTTATTTGTATGTTATTATTCAAAGATAAATAAGGAAGTGTGTGTTATATGGCAGAGGTTTCAGCTCCGATTATTACATCAAAGAGGCTTAATGTTTTCTATTATTTGTATTTCACTATAGCTATCTGGACGGTGTCAAGGTCTAATTTTGACCGAATTAATCAGTAGCGGGTGTAACTAAAATACAAGATGTCGTCTTGTATTTTACAAGATATATATAAATATATACGATTTTATTTCGTATTTGCGTGCATTTCCTGTTTCGGAACTGATATTAACTACAATACAAGGTGTCCCTATATATATATATATATATATATATATATATATGCGGCGGAGGTGGGGAGGTTCCAGCTGGGAACCTCCACCCCGCTGCGGGACCCGTGGCCCCTGGACGGTGCGTCTTGGTCACGCTTCATATCGGCCGGCCGGGAAGGAAGAGACACGCAGAGTGGGGGAAGTCCCCCACCCCTACGCAGCAAACCCTCCCGGCCATCATAGTCGAACCCGCAGTTCGGAGGAACCGACCGTCAGAGCGACAGCACTAGGCCGGGCCGGCGCGGAGGCCCTCCGACAGTGGGTCCCGTTTGCCATTCAATCAGTCAGGGGAGAAAAATGCAACAAAAATTGTCAAAATCCGTTAATATATGGATGAGTGGGGGGCGGGCTGGACACAGGCCGTGGGGTGACACCCTAGACCGGGCAATGTCCCCGGTAGAAACCGGGTGAAATAGCCCAAAAAATAATAAAACCGGGGAAAATAAGGGGGAAAGTGAAAAAAAGTGTCCGAAAATAGGCACTCGTGAGGCGGGCAGAGTCCCCTGTCAACTCCCGTTACATTCCTCCATGGTGTCTTTTGAGTTTATATATAGGCCTACGGTCTATGCTTTTGAGCGAAAAACTTTTACGAGAACCAGGCTGGGGGGTCAAAAGACCTTGACCAAGGCCGACCCAAAGTGCACGGTGGCCGGACTCATCACCTCCGTGATGAGTCTCCATTGTGATTCGGTGGGCGGGAAAAAAAACGTGTTCCTCAGAATCGTCACTTCCTGTACTGACAGTGGAGGTGTTCTAAGAGTGGAGGTCTGCACCAGAACTGTCCTGACAGTGGAGGTCTGCAGGCAGGCTCCTATGGAAAAAACTGCATTAGATGCCCTCATAGTTGATTTAAATAACTTTTCAAAATTAGCTGGGCTAAGGCCTAACTTTGATAAATGCTGTATTATGAGAATAGGAACATTAAAAGGCACATATTTCAAGCTACAATGCTCAGCTCCAGTCAAATGGTGTAATGGTTCAGTGGATGTTCTGGGAGTTCATATTCCAGAAAATCTCAAAGATCTAGTTAAGGTAAATGTTTTGCGAAAAATGCAGAAAACGGAGAAAATAATTCAACCTTGGAAAGGGAAAGCTCTCTCATTACAGGGAAATATTACATTAATTAATGCTCTTGTGATTCCACAGTTTGTTTATCTCTTAATTTCACTTCCCTCCCAGAGGCGTCTTTTTTGAAAAGCTTTGAACAACGAATGTTTAAGTTCATCTGGAATAATAAGCCTGCCAAGATAAAAAGGCAATACATATATAATACACTTGAAAATGGTGGACTAAACTTAAAAAAGGTGGCAGCAATGAATTCATCCTTAAAAGCATCTTGGATTAATAAAATGTATCATAATAGTCTTTGGAGAACAAGTCAGAACTTATTTTCAGGGCACTTGTTTTTTGACTGTAAACTGTTTCCCTTTTTCCAATTAAAATCTCACCACTGTGATGGTTATTCAAATACATATTAATAGAAATCTCACCATTTGTTAGAGATGCATTGAAGGCTTGGTTGAGTTTCCAGTATTACCCCAGATACACCAGAATAAATCCAAAATCAATTAGTATGGTTGAACTCAGAAGTAGATGGAAAACCACTATTATGGGAAAGTCTCCTGAGAAAGGGAATTATTTTCATGAATGATTTACTAGATAGCACAGGTAATTTAATTTCATATCAGTGTTTTCGCTGTATGTATGGTCAGATATGTGACTTCCTTCACTTTAACCAGCTGCTTTCAGCTATTCCAACTAACTGGAAATGCAAATTAAAAAAAGATGGAAACCGACAACAGGTCTGTACACCTCATACAAGAAGTCAGAAATGGCTTTCAAAAATGAAAATAAATAGAATAATTTATAATCACTGTTTACAGAGCAAGGGCCTTACTGCTTTTCCTCATGCGGTCTGTTCTTTCTGGGAAGAAGAATTTAATATTCTGATACCCTGGAAACCATTTTTTAGAACCATATACAAAACAACAATTGATTCCTATTCAAGAATCTTCCAACTGAAGATCTTTTACAATATTATCGCTACAAAAAACAACTCACCACTTTTAATATTGAACCGTCACCACTTTGTAGATTCTGTGAGGAGGAAGAGGAAGACCAGATGCATTTATTTTTGTATTGTCCATACGTTGCAAGACTGTGGACTGAGATTCAAAATTGGCTTAAGACACTTTATATTGATTTTGCATTTACTCCCTCTGGTCTTTTGTTTGGGCTTTTGGATGAGGACAATACACAGTTGATGAATACAATTATTCTTCGGGCAAAAATACTTATTTTCAAAACTCAATCAAGGGGAAATCAGAATTTAAGGTGTGTGAAAAGTAGATTAAAAATAAAATTTATTTTGGAAAGGATGATTGCCACAACAAATCAAAGGATGGCTCAACACACCATGAAATGGGAAACAATCAGCTCTAGCGAAGAGTGGGATAAAAAGGAATAATAAATGCTTTTGATGATATTGTACTGTCAACCTATTTTTTGTTTTGTTTATGAAATGTTGAAGTGACCAACTGACTGTAATTTATTATTTTTGTTTCTGTTTTTTTTGTGTCTGAGATAGGAATGTCTCTTTTTGTTATTGTAATGTCCATGTTTTGTGTCTGTAGCCTCTACAATAAATTAAACACAATTGAAAAAACTCAAAATCATATTCATAAACCATGAATAAAACCTGCTATGTATATCAGGAAAAATAAAATAAAGCTGTGAAACAATCTCAATAATTGGCAGAAAAAATGTAAGGGTTTTTTAATTGACATAAAAGGATACATGTTGAGATAGGGAGTTCTAATATCTTAAGAGAAGAGTTTGAATATTAAAAAAACACAAACTCTTTTGGCTCCTTCCTGTCTTTCTACTTGGTCTTTCTTGGCTTTGTTCTGGCTATCTTCTAGCTCTATTCAGGTTTTTGGAGTTTTTTTCTAGCTCTGTCCCTGATCATGATCAGAACCTGAAGGCTCTATATGGACTATCTTCTGGTTCTTTTTGGGATCCATCCACTATCTCTTGTCTCTGTCCAGTGAATTACACTTTTGTTACTGGAGCAGGTGAAGCATACAACAGATACTTTCAGCATTATCGGAGCACAAAGTGGAAGCTTGGATGAAACACAGCGGACTTCTAAACAATGAACACCCGCAACTTGGAAGAACTGAAGTTGGGTTTAATGCGTTCTAATATTGCAATGCAAACCCATGATGTAATGACAGTAATTAAGAATAATTTAGTGATTGAATGCTCATTTCAGTAGATTTAATCAAACAAAACATAAACATATTGGACATGGCCTCAAGACTGTAACCTCTTCACATTCTGTTGAAATGGTCAATTACTAGCCATATCTTACACATTGCTGTTTTGAATCATTAATATGTGGATGACAGTTGAACTGGATGATTTAACATGTATGCCATCTGCTGGAAAGAAGACGTATCGCACTGTTGGCGTTGTTTAGACAACAAAAACGGAATGAAGCTCTCATTTCATAAACAATATTTGAGTACAGACACCGTCCTGCAGAGAGCACACTACCCAACAGCACGTTTTTGGTCTAGCGTCACTTTACAAAACATTTGCATTAAGACACTGATGTCGCGTTTCCACTGCAGCGGGTAGCTCGCTTTAAGCATGCAGAGCCGTGCGGGGCCCGTTTTTGGCCCAACAGCACGTTTTTGGTCTAGCATCACTTTATAAGACTAGCTGGTCCCTTGTAAAGGTGAGTCCACCTTAAATGAGCAGTCGGTAAACAGCAAGTGAAAGGCAGGACAAAGGAACTTGGTCCTGAGGAGATGTAACGATTATTAAACAAGAAATAGTCGAGTCAAGGGGTCAAAGAAAATGAAGATTTGTGATTATTAGCGAATCGGTTGCAGGTGGGTGAAATCAGGCTTAGGGAGTAACGTATTACATGTAACGGCATTAGGTCATCAGGATACAAAATAGACAAATGTATTCCCTTACAGTTACAAAAGCAGCTGACGACCAACACACTTATGTCTTTTGAAACGATTATACCATTTAAATCTTTTGTCACAAACATTGCAGCTCTATTTTTCCTCTCCTGTGTGGACTCTCATGTGTGTCTTTAAACTATCACTCCGTGAAAAAGCTTTCTTACAGACTGAGCAGCTGTGTGCTTTCTCTCCTGTGTGGACTCTCGTGTGTTTCTTTAAATTTCCACTATTTGAAAAAGCTTTCTTACAGACTGAGCAGCTGAATGGTTTCTCTCCTGCGTGGACTCTCGAGTGGTCCTTTAGATGTGCACTCTGTGAAAAAGCTTTCTTACAGACTGAGCAGCTGTGTGGTTTCTCTCCTGTGTGGACTCTCCTGTGTGCCTTTAAATGTGCACTTCGTGAAAAAGCTTTCTTACAGACTGAGCAGCTGTGTGCTTTCTCTCCTGTGTGGACTCTCATGTGTGTCTTTAAATTTCCACTCAGTGAAAAAGCTTTCTTACAGACTGAGCAGCTGTGTGGTTTCTCTCCTGTGTGGACTCTCATGTGTGCCTTTAAATCTGCACTCTGTGAAAAAGCTTTCTTACAGACTGAGCAGCTGTGTGCTTTCTCTCCTGTGTGGACTCTCATGTGTTTCTTTAAATTTCCACTATTTGAAAAAGCTTTCTTACAGACTGAGCAGCTGAATGGTTTCTGTCCTGCGTGGACTCTCGAGTGGTCCTTTAGATGTGCACTCTGTGAAAAAGCTTTCTTACAGACTGAGCAGCTGTGTGGTTTCTCTCCTGTGTGGACTCTCGTGTGTGCCTTTAAATGTGCACTTCGTGAAAAAGCTTTCTTACAGACTGAGCAGCTGTGTGGTTTCTCTCCTGTGTGGACTCTCGTGTGTGCCTTTAAATGTGCACTTCGTGAAAAAGCTTTCTTACAGACTGAGCAGCTGTGTGCTTTCTCTCCTGTGTGGACTCTCATGTGTGTCTTTAAATTTCCACTCAGTGAAAAAGCTTTCTTACAAACTGAGCAGCTGTGTGGTTTCTCTCCTGTGTGGACTCTCATGTGTGCCTTTAAATCTGCACTCTGTGAAAAAGCTTTCTTACAGACTGAGCAGCTGTGTGCTTTCTCTCCTGTGTGGACTCTCGTGTGTTTCTTTAAATTTCCACTATTTGAAAAAGCTTTCTTACAGACTGAGCAGCTGAATGGTTTCTGTCCTGCGTGGACTCTCCAGTGGTCCTTTAGATGTGCACTCTGTGAAAAAGCTTTCTTACAGACTGAGCAGCTGTGTGGTTTCTCTCCTGTGTGGACTCTCGTGTGTGCCTTTAAATGTGCACTTCGTGAAAAAGCTTTCTTACAGACTGAGCAGCTGTGTGGTTTCTCTCCTGTGTGGACTCTCGTGTGTGCCTTTAAATGTGCACTTTGTGAAAAAGCTTTCTTACAGACTGAGCAGCTGAATGGTTTCTCTCCTGTGTGGACTCTCGTGTGTTCCTTTAAATGCGCACTTCGTGAAAAAGCTTTCTTACAGACTGAGCAGCTGTGTGGTTTCTCTCCTGTGTGGACTCTCGTGTGTGCCTTTAAATGTGCACTTCGTGAAAAAGCTTTCTTACAGACTGAGCAGCTGAATGGTTTCTCTCCTGTGTGGACTCTCGTGTGTGCTTTTAAATTCCCACTCTGTGAAAAAGCTTTCTTACAGACTGTGCAGCTGAATGGTTTATTTTCAGCACTAGGTTGTGGATCACTGACTGATTCATGTCTATTTTTCAGTGAGTGTGAGCCTGATGCAGGTTCTCTGGCCTCCTTCCAATCAGCACAGTCTTCAGTGCCAGGTTCAGAAGAGTCTCCAGTGTCATCCTCAGTCTTTGGTTGTAAACTGCTCTCTGGATCTGAGCTCCTGGCTGGTTCTGGTCCTCGACAGTCATCTCCATCAGCTTCTGTTTCCATGTGTTCAGTTTGTCTTTGATGAGGCTGAGAGGACTGAGGTTTCTCTTTATCATCTTCACTCTTCACAGGGTCAGGAGTGAAAGTGGACTTGGTGATCTCAGCCTCCTCCAGCTCCTGAAGCTGCTCTCCCTCCTGACTGATCCTGAGTTCCTCCTGTCCCTGCTTAATGTGTGGGGGGGGCTCTGGATCCTCCGGGTCCAGACTGGTGCTCCACTCCTGCTGGTCAGGGAGAAACTCTTCTTTAACCACCACCAGCAGCTGGACATCTGCAGGAAACAGGAAACACACAGTCAGAACAAACTGTTAAGTGTTAGCATTTAAAAATCTAATCACCATTACAATGGGAGACATTTTTGCAGCCCTAATTAATGCCTTTGTTTTTATATTTTCACATTATCTTTCTTAGTCCCACCTATTGTGTATTTGTGTTGGCTCAATTCACCTTATGTAGCCCAGCTACTTTCCACTTCCAGTTAAAAATGAAAACGTTTTTTCTTCTTCCGGCGTAGCACTAGCTGCAATGTAAACAATTAATTGTATTTGGGATCGTTCACAGATACACTACGCCTACAGTAGAGAATTGCAATACTCTGTTACAAATAAAAATCCTGCATTCAAACCTTATTTAAGTAAAAGTATGCAAGTATTAACCTGTTAAGCCCCGAGCCTGTTTTTTAGGTCTCAGGCTCGAAAATGACATTCCCAGAACAAATGACCATATCTTCCCTTCTAAAAGGGTTACATTAATAATCTTTGTTCCCAAAGCAAGGTTACACCTGTGAGTTGGATGTAGAAGTGTCAGAATCAATAGATTTTTTTATTTTAAAGTAAATTCAGATTGAACACAGTAAAACAATATTTAAATTATTGTGTCCGTCCAAAACAAATAAAATTACTTAGTGAAAACCACCCTTGAATGATGGGATGGTAGACTAAAAGCTTTAGGAATCCAAACTACAACATATAATAAGTACCCTTGTATCAAGATTGATGCAAAACAAGTGAAATTTGACCTTTTTAGAAAGATTTAGCAAAAAAACGCACTTCTGGGGTCATTTGGGTGGATTTGACCTACAGTTGCAAGAAAAAGTATGTGAACCCTTTGGAATTACCTGGATTTCTGCATAAGTTGGTCATAAAATGTGTTCTGATCTTCATCTAAGTCACAACAATAGACAAACACAGTCTGCTTAAACTAATACCACACAAACAATTATATGTTTTCATGTTTTTTTTTACACACCATGTAAACATTCACAGTGCAGGGTGGAAACAAAATGTGAACCCCTAGGCTAAAGACTTCTTCAAGAGCTACTTGGAGTCAGGAGTCAGTCAACCTGGAGTCCAATCAATGAGACGAGATAGGAGGTGTTGGTTAAAGCTGCCCTGCCCTATCAAAAATACACACCAGTTTTGAATTTGCTATTCTTAAGAAGCATTGCCAGATGTGAACCATGCCTCGCACAAAAGAGCTCTCAGAAGACCAACGAATAAGAATTGTTGACTTGCATAAAGCTGGAAAGGGTTACAAAAGTATCTCTGAAAGCCTTGATGTTCATCAGTCCACGGTAAGACACATTGTCTATAAATGGAGAAAGTTCAGCACTGTTGCTACTCTCCCTAGGAGTGGCCGTCCTGTAAAGATGACTGCAAGAGCACAGCGCAGAATGCTCAATGAGGTGAAGAAGAATCCTAGAGTGTCAGCCAGAGTCCTGCATCGGGTCGGGTACCCGACGGGTGACCCGCAAAAAAGGTGATTTTCCTGGTTCGGTTCTGGGTAAAACAAAGATGATGCGGGTCGGGTCGCGGGTATTGCATAATAAATATATTAAAAATAATAGTAATTTAGTTTAATGTTTAAATCCTCAGACCTCTCCCCCGCGGGACCGCGCATAATCATAACCTCTGCAACGCATCAATCTGCTGCTGTGCGCGCCACATTCTAAATGGCTGAGGTGAAGCTCTCTAGCGGAGAATACAGCATTTTCAATAACACTTCCTCAAGAGCCAAATCCAACGTCTGGGAGGCTTTTGGTGTCATCCTAGATGGAGAAAAGAACCAACATCCCACACTTTTTGAGACAAATATGCAACTGCGTGTGTTAATAATTGCACATTTTCACTGCTCATAGGCTATGCGGGTTCTGGTCGGGTTGCGGATCTTGTGCCGACGGGTCGGGTGGGGTTGCGGAACTAATTGGCAATATGTGCGGGTAGCGGGGCGGGTTCGGTATTGCACGTCGCGGGTGCGGGGCGGGAGCGGGTCTTGAAAATCAGACCCGTGCAGGACTCTGGTGTCAGCTAGAGACTTAAAGAAATCTCTGGCACATGCTAACATCTCTGTTGACGAATCTACGATACGAAAAACACTGAACAAGAATGGAGTTCATGGGAGGACACCACGGAGGAAGCCACTGCTGTCCAGAAAAAACATTGCTGCACGTTTGAAGTTTGCAAAAGAGCACCTGGATGTTCCACAGCACTACTGGCAAAATATTCTGTGGACAGATGAAACCAAAGTTGAGTTGTTTGGAAGGAACACACAACGCTATGTGTGGAGAATCCAAAGCGTTCACATACTTTTTCTTGCAACTGTATCTCTGGCCCCCCTTGCTCGATTTTGCTGAATGACATCTCTTTCTAACCGTCAGAGCCAATGGAATCGAGGGAAACTCCCACATACTCCTTATTTGGTAATGTGTGTGTGTGTGAGACTGACGCATAGCCAAAACCGGAAGCTGTGATACTCTGGTGGCTACCATTAGCAGCTAACTTTTACTCTCCGATTTTTACATAAAAATGGAATTATGGATTATAAATTAAAAAAATTATTCCACAGAAACATTATCAACCTATGGATTAACCGATTCAACCGCATTTTTTCTCGTTTTAATGCCATTGAACCAGTCTTTTGATCAGATTGATAGCTAAGGTGAGACGATCTCCCGTAAAAGCTACGTAAAGGTACGTGTTGTGATGTCTGTGTTTGCTTCCTCTGTCGCGAGTTTGGATCACTCAGTGATGATACTATAGTTAAATAATCTGTGGAACCTCAGCTTTAATCGGATATCTTGTATGTGCAGCTACGATAAGTAATAAGGGTACTTTTATCTTGAGTTCTGTGCCAAAGTGCGTTAGCATTTTTCGCTCAGGAGTCATTTAGATGCTTCTTATGAGACTTGTGTTTTGTTTTGGTAAAAATGGTTTGTATCGTCAGTTAGCTGAGATTATTCCCATTAATCTGGTAGAACATATTAATAGGTTCTTAAATATTAAGATCCCCTGAGACACAGTGTAGTGAAAAAAAAAAAAAAAAAGTACCCGCCGAGGGGGACCTTGGGGCTTAACAGGTTAACAGAACATTTGACGGCACCTTCTTATGTAAAAGTAATGATGGTGCAGTAAAATGTTCCCTTACGGTGTTTAATGTAGGATGTTTCTTGATTATTTCGTATTTTGCATTTTACTGCTGTACATGTTCAAAGTTGCGCTTGTATAAATGATTATAGATGAGGGAACCTGCTAAATATTAAAATGTGTGTGTTTTATTACCAGTTAAAGTTTGGACACACCTTCTCATTCAATGTTTTTTGTTTATTTTAACCTGTTTCTACTTTGTAGATTAATACTGAAGACATCAAAACTATGAAAGAACACATATGGAATTATCTAGTTAACAAAAAAGTGTTAAAAAATCAAGAATATGATTTTTATTTTAGATTCTTCAAAGTAGCTCCCTTTTGCCTTGATGAGAGCTTTGCACCCTCTTGGCTTCTCTCAGTCAGCTTCATGAGGTGGAAACCTGGAATGGTTTTCAATGAACACGTGTGCCTTGTCAAGAGTCAATGTGTGGAATGACTTGCCGTCTTAATGTGTTTGAGACCATCAGTTGTGTTGTGCAGAGGTAGAATTAGTGCACAGTGGAAAGCCCTATTTGACTGCTGTTTTAATCCATATTATAGCAAGAACGACTCAACCCAGTAAAGAGAAACGACCGTCCATCATCACTTTAAGAAATGAAGGTCAGTCGATCCGGAAAATGTCAAGAACTTTGAATGTATCCTCAAGTGCAGTCGCAAAAACCATCGAATGCTATGATGAGACTGGCTCTCATGAGGACCCCCCCGGGAAAGGAAGAGCAAGAGTTACCTCTGCTGCAGAGGATAAATACATCAGAGTTACCAGCCTCAGAAACCACAATTAAAAGCACCTCAGATTAGAGCCCACATAGATGATCAAAGAGCTCAAGGAGCAGACAATCTTAAAGGTCCCATGACATGGCCATTTCTACTGATCATAATTCCATTGTTGAGGTCTACTAGAATATATTTACATTGTTCCAAAACCACATTGGTTTCTCATACAGCATCCCTGTATAGTATGTGTATTCACTCTCTGTCCTACACGCCTTGTTGGAGCTCCTGCTGCTCCAGCTGACTCAGATAAGGAAATATATGATACATTATGATAATAATAATACAATTTATTTTTAGGCGCCTTTCATGACACCCAAGGACACCGTACAATTTGTTTAAAAAAAAGGAACATTTAAAAATTTAAAAATAAATTTAAAAAAACGCGAATAGGCAACAGAACATGATAAAAACACAAACAGGAAATCATGGAGGAGACAGTCAAGTGGACACAAATGAAACATATAATGGGGAGCACTACAGTGAGTAAGCAGATTTGAACAGGTGGGTTTTTAATTGGGATATGAATATGGTGATTGTGTCTGACTGTCGGATGTGCGGGGGGGGGAGGGAGTTCCAGAGTCTGGGAGCAGTGCAGCTAAAAGCCCGAGCACCCATGGTGACGAGGCGTGGGGTGGGGACGGTCAGCAGATCAGCAGAGGAGGAGCGGAGGGAGCGAGAGGGGGTGTACTCCTGAAGAAGGTCAGCCAGATAGGGGGGGGGGGGGGGGGGGGGGGGGGCAGGTTATGTAGGGCTTTGTAAGTGAGCAGTAGGTTTTTGAAGTTTATATGGGATTGAACAGGGAGCCAGTGGAGTTCGATGAGGATGGGGGTGATGTGTTCGGACTGGGAGGCCTTGGTGCCGGTGATGATCCGGGCTGCGGAGTTCTGTATGATTTGTAGTTTATTGATGAGCTTGGTGGTGATGCCTGAGAGGATGGCGTTACAGTCGTCGATGCGGGACGTGACAAATGCATTGACCAGGACTTCAGTGTTTGATTGAGAAAGGGATGGGCGGAGTCTGGAGATGTTGCGTATGTGGAAGAAGGCAGTCCGGGTGATGTTATTTATGTGAGGTGAAAATTAGAGGGAGCTGTCCAGGATGACACCAAGGCTCTTAACTTGGCCAAAGAAGGGGATGGAGTAGCCATCAATGATGAGGTTGGAGGCAGGGGAGGAGGAGGTTTTGGAGAGGGTGGTTTTGGTGCCAACCAGCAGGGCTTCGGTTTTGCTGCTGTTGAGTTTTAGGAAGTTCCTACTCATCCAGCTCCTGATGTCCTGAAGGCAGCTGGTGAGAGAGGTTGGGGGGAGGGCAGTGTTGGGTTTGCTGGAAATGTAGATCTGAGTATCGTCGGCGTAACAGTGGAAATGGACATTATGATGACGGAGGATAGTGCCAAGGGGGAGTAGGTAGATAATAAACAGGAGTGGACCCAATACTGACCCCTGAGGAACACCATGTGAGACAGTGGAGCAGCTTGACCGGTGGGTGCTGAGACGGACATATTGTTTTCTGTCTGTGAGGTAGGATGAAAACCATGAGTGCAGTACCAGTGATCCCAATGTCTGCCAAACATTTGATAAGCAGTGCGTGTGAGATGGTGTCAAAGGCAGCTGTGAGGTCAAGGAGGATTAGGATGGTGAGCAGTCCAGAGTCAGCTGCACGGAGGAGGTCGTTGGTGATTTTTACCAGCGCTGTTTCGGTGCTGTGCTTTGAGCGGAAACCCGATTGGAAGGGTTCATGAAGGTTGTTTTTGTCCAGGTGTTGTTGAAGTTGGTCGCAACCACTCTTTCAAGGGTTTTTGAGATGAAGGAGAGGTTAGAGATGGGCCTGTAGTTATTCAGGTCATCTCGGTCAGCTCCAGGTTTTTTGAGTGTTGGTGTTATTGCAGCAGTTTTGAGGTTTGGCGGTACAGTTCCAGTTGCGAGGGACGAGTTAATGATTCTTGTGATCAAGGGGCAAGTAAAGGGCACACAGGGTTTAACGAGGGCAGTGGGGAGTGGGTCGAGCTGACAGGTAGTATGTTTGGATTTACGGATAAGCTCAGTGATGGAGAACTCAGTAGCTGCCGATAAATTGGACAGGGTGGGGATTAGCTGGTGACAGGTGGAGCTCAGCCACTGTGGGTCGTCTTTGGAGGTTGTAGATGCAGCCAGTTGTAGGTGGATGGTGTTGATTTTGCTACTGAAGAAATTCAGAAACTCATTGCAGTCATCAGATGAGATGTCTGTGGGGAGGGTTGTGGTAGGTTGAAGTAGGTGTCTGACGGTTGAGAAGAGGTTGCTTGTGTTACCTTTTCCAGAATTATGATGTGATATGCTGCGGACTGTACTGTTACTTTGATCCGGTTACTTATGTTGTGGCAGATATTTAATTAAGCTTTCTAAACGCTAATGTTATGTTAGTCAGATTGCTCTGAAGATGGGAGGTGATATTCTATTAATGTTCACGTTCACACAGTCAGTTGATTTGCCGTCTTTCCTGCAACGGTAGTTTTTCTGTATTTCCTTTCTCCTGTAATATGACTTGATCGCTTTAAACTCCGCACACTGAGCTCTGATTGGTCAGCAGGCAGTGTTTTCACTGAGTTGAGCTCTTAGCCTGCAACCTAACCTGCTCCGGGGCAGGTTAGCTACACAGCATAAGTTACCATGGAGATCTAGCTTGCTAAAAAAGGGGGGGGGGCGTTTGCTGGTGTCACTGTTGGTGATTTATTCAGAATTCAAGGCACCCTTAACCAGCATGGCTACCACAGCCTTCTGCAGTAGCCAGCAAAATATAAATCATATTCTGGATTTTTTAACACTTTTTTGTTTACTAGATAATTCCATATGTGTTATTTTATAGTTTAGATGTATTCAGTATAAATCTACAAAGTAGAACCAATTTAAATAAATACAAAACTTTGAATGAGAAGATGTGCCCAAACTTTTGACTGCGTCTAAGGGTGCATTCACACCTAATAGTCCGCTTTCTGGTGCGCACCAGACGACAGTTTGTTACATTGTTTCATTTTTCAGAAGGTTCGGTTTGCGTTCACATGGGCAAAACTCAAACGGACTATAAACTTTAAACACAAGTCATGTGCTCAGAAATGCTGTTCAGCAATTGGTCAGACATTAAGGGCGTAACAACACAAATCCCGGCAATTTCTACTGGAGCCTCCGCCATGGAGCATCGACACTTTCGGCAGGTTATTCTCATGCTGCTGTTAATCTGGAGATCAACAGACACTAGCGGCCCGGCCGCGCATATGATTATATAATCAGACAACGTCCGTTAAAAAACATTATAACATAATGAGAGATGTTCTGCAGTAAGGAGGGGCGTTTCACTGACGACAGGTGTTCTTACTTTTATGTAGTTGACAGAGCATTTTTACTTTACACGACACTGTTCAACACTTCATTCTGCTTCACTCTTTAAGTTAACAACTGTGGATGTCTTAAAAGACTCTTTCGGTAGAGATTTTGAAGACATCCGCGTTCTTGTGACACGTAAATACTACGCTTCCTATGTTTTGGTGCGGACTGCATTCACACCAGCAATGAACCGCTCCAGAGTTTGCAAGCAAGCGCGCCGAGACCACCTATTTTAGCGGACCAGAGTCCGGTTGTTTAGTTCACTTCAGAGGTCTCGGTCTGTGTTCACACCGCCCGAAAGGAATTGCACAAAGCGGCTAAACGCACCAGGGTTCCATTCAACCGGACTATACAAGGCAGGTGTGAACGCACCAATACTAGTGTATATCTCTCTCAAAATGTATATTCTGTCAGCGACGTGCAGTCAGGGGAGGCAGAGCCTCACCTGTCATACTCCAATGTAACGGAAAAACAACTAAAGAAAAACTAAATAGTAATAATAATAAAATGTCTCCACTGATCTGTTTTGTAAATGTGATTTATGTATAATTCCAATCGCTTTTTATGGTCAAAATCAGCAAATTTGCCGAGCTCCGCTACAACTACGGGGAGCGATGAGGAGTGAGGCAGGGACGAGCTCTGCCTCTCGTAAGCCCAAAGTAACTGGCTGGAGCGCGGGCACTAATTTAGCGCGGGCACTTATTTTGTGAGCGCGCTCAAGCCAGTTACTGTGTGGTGAGGTGAGGCACAGATGAGCTCTGCCTCACCTCAGAATGCGTCACCCCACAGAAACTGGCTGGAAAGCGGGCCCTAAGCGCATGCCTGCACCATCTCACTGTATGTCACCAATGTAATGTTTGTAAATCCCTTTATTACATTTATCCTCGCCATCAGTCTCTAAATAACTTATTTCACGTATATATGATATTTAGGCTCGCTGGTCTCATCATACAACGGCAATGAAAAAAGCACCAGGGGAGGCAGCCATAACCTCTGCCGCACTGAAGGGGGCGCAAGTGAGCCCAAAGGTTCTTGTTGCTACGGTTATTCTACGCAGAGACGGAACGCAAACAACAAACTAGACTTTTGAAACTAGAGGAAGATAAGGAGGACTTTTACAAAAAAGTAATAGAGATTGTTGTCCAGAAGGATAGCATGGACTTCATCTTCAAGTCAAGGTAAGACCACAATTGTAATGCAAATGGAATCTTACTAAGAAAGAACAATCCAATATTTAAATTGTGGGTAGGCCTATCCTTTTGTTGAACGGTCTGTTTAAAATGAATTGAAGCATCAGACTAAAAAAGCTTTTGAAAATAACCGAATATTTCGATTAAGGTCAAAATATAATATTTGTAAATCTGACTCTGAAAGAGTCAGTGCCTCACCATCCATGAACCTCACCGCACGTCACTGTATTCTGTGTATATCTATATATATATATATATAGAGAGAGAATATATTATAAATACATGTTGGCAATAATTGATTGATGAGATGTTACATTAATTTATATTAACATTGTAATTACTTAATGACCTTTGTACTAGTTCCCCTATTCTTTAACAAGTAACATTTTAGATGTGTTTAATTTATTATTGAAAATATTTATTCATTGATTTCTTTATGAATTATCCAAGCGCAATTTGAATTAATCCAAAGTATTTATTTGTATTAGCTATTTCACATTTAAAAATAAAAGGTGAATAAAGAAGCACATTAAAACTAAATTATCAAATGATGTCACAGTTAACCAACTAGTGCCTACATGTATGGGTAATATTTAAATCAGTAAATTAAATGGCATATTATTCAATGTATGTATTTTTATAAAATATATTTATTTTGGTAGGTTTGCTCTTCCGTAATACATTTTAATTATCATAATAAAGTACATGTGTCTAATAATACTTACATACAGTACTTTAACTTGTAAATCCAATCAAAGTTTATTTATAAAGCACATTTAAAAGCGACATTTTTGGTCGGGCCAAAGTGCTGTACATGTAATAAATACTACAATCACATAAAAACACATTACTACAATCACAATAAAAGACAATAAATTACAACAGATATAAAAAACACAGGGAAAAGTCAGGAGTCGTGCTCCGCTCTGACTAAAAGGCCAGGGAGAAGAAGTGTGTTTTAAGAGTAGATTTAAAAACCCCTAGGGTCTTGGCCGACCTCACATGGAGGGGCAGAGTGTTCCAGAGCCTAGGGCCAGCTGCTGCGAAGGCTCGGTGCCCTCGGGTTTTGAGCCTGGTCTTGGGCACTACCAGCAGCTCTGGCTGGGGTGTAGCGCTGGAGGAGTTCAGCTATATAGGCCGGAGCCAGCCCATTTAGGGCTTTGAAAACAATAATGGAGTATTTTCAGTGTGGTGTTTGTACTTTTACTTCAGGATCTACTACCTGCAGCAAGTGCTGATAAAGGGTCTAAAGTGTTATTAAAGTGATAATAAAGTGCTACTGAAGAGTGTAAAGTGTTAATTAAGGGTAAAGGGAACAGACCTGCTCTGTGTATCCGAAGCTGAGGCTGTAAAACAGCGTCCAGAAGTTTCTGGAGTCTCTTGTTCTCCTCTTTGGAAAGAGACAGCTCCTCTTCGAGCTCGGCTATCGTTTTTTCAAACAAAGCAAATATCTCTTCAGCAGCAGCAGTGAGTCGCTGCTTCTTCAACGACAGCAGCATTTGGACTTTACTCATGTTTACTAGATCACCTTTTTCCTGCAAACTCCGTTAAACACACCGTTTCTCTCTCCATCAAACTCTCAATCTGACTGGCGTTGCTAACGTGTTTCCAGCTAGCATGCTAAGCTAGCTCCTATAGTCCGAGGTAAACGCTCCAGAAAAAAGAGCACACAGTCCATTCAGAGGTTTATCCAAACACACAGATGATGGATCAGTAGTGCTGGAGCTCACACACACTTTCTCAGGAACACAGAGAGAGAGAGAGAGAACCGTAGCGACGAGACGCCGTTACCGAATAAAATGTGGGACGAACAACTGGTGATATCTTCTTCTTCTCTTGTTTTTAGCGGATTGCAAACAACTTAAAAAGGTGCATACCGCCACCTACTGTACTAGAGTATGAATCACCACATCATTCCAACGCTTTAACCTATGATCTAAACACAATTAAAATCAATCAATCAATCAATAAAACCATGAAATAAATAAAACAAAAATACAAATCTATGTTCTTTCCTGACCTAATGTTAAAATTATTTTTCCTACCCCAGTTTCACTCAATAATTTAAACAGTGCCTTTCTGGTAGCTCTTACTCCCTCTCCTTTTGTTCCCAAAACACCAACCACACTCCATTCCTTCTCTGCCTCTAAAACTTTAGCCTTTAATTGTTCTCTTTCCGCTTTATAGATGTCACAATGTAACAAGATATGTTCTACATCTTCTTTTACTGCACAGTTCCCACACTTGTTACTGTCACTTTTCCCCATGATATACAGCGTACTATTCAAAGCTGTGTGATTTATTCTGAGTCTAGCCATCATGATTTCCTCCCTTCTGTTTCTTTCTTTATGAATATGAATTGTAATTGTACTTTGTACTTTGTGATAGTCCTTGCCTTTCTGGTCTTTCTCCCACCTTTTCTGCCAGATCTCCATCCCTTTTTTCTTAATGACTGCTTTTCCTTCTCCAAGTTGAACTGGTAATGTTATTTGCTTTTGTAGTGCACTCTTTGCTAATTTATCAGCACACTCGTTCCCTTTCACCCCCTCATGTGCACTCGTTCCCTTTCACCCCCTCATGTGCAGGCACCCAGCAGAACTGCAGATCTATACCGCCTCTGTGCAGTCTTGACAGGCTATGATTCAGTTCTATGAGAATGTCTTCTCTGGCAGTTGTTGTTGATTGTATGCTTTGTAATATGGAAAATGAATCTGTACAAATAACCACCTATCTGGTCTGACCTCTTCAACCCACTGCAATCCTATTATTACAGCAAGCATTTCTGCTGTATACACTGATAATTGATCAGACGCTCTTTTTAAAATAGATATTTTAAAGTTTTTTTTAATTGTTCTTAGAACCATCTGTATAAATGTGTAGGAAATTGTAGTAACTTCCGTTCAGATACATACTTGTTTTAATTCCCACTTCATTTATTTGCCACTCTTTTTTCCTTTCTCCAATACTCATATCTATTTTAGCTTCTGGGGAAAGCCATGGGGGAACACTGCTGAATGGGGTTGCTTTGGCAAACGTGATATTCTCCACTCCATATGCCCTCGTTCTCTCCTTACTCGTCCAGCCAAACCCACGTCCCTGGAATTTTGCATATTCCCAGCAATCCTGTAATATTCTATTTGAAATATTTTCTTCTCCACTTCCTTGTAGTCTGACCCAGTATGACAGAGCAAGTTTCTCTCTTCTGATCTCCAGATGTGTCTCTCCTGCTTCTATCAGAACTGCATTGATAGGGGATGACTTTATTGCTCCAATACACAGCCGCAATGCTTTATATTGTATTCTATCAATTTTTAAAAGCGATGTTTTTGCTGCTGCTCCATACACTATACAACCAAAGTCTATTGTGGACCTCGTAATGGATCTGTAAATGTCTATTAATGCTTGTTTGTCTGCGCCCCAGTTGCATCCAGCTACAGCTCGCAATACATTTAATACTTTTTAGCATTTTGTTTCCATTTGATTAATATGCATTTTCCATGTATATTTGCTATCAAACCACAGTCCTAGGTATTTGAACTCATTCACCTTTGTCATTGGTCGATCATATAGTGTTAGCTGTTAGCCATCAATCTTGCGTTTGTTTGTAAATACCATGTAGCATGCATGATCAATCAATCAATCAATCAATCAATGTTTATTTATATAGCCCAATATCACAAATGTTACATTTGTCTCAGTGGACTTCACAGTTTGTACAAAATATCAGTATGACAATACGACACCCTCTGTCCTTAGACCCTCACATCGTACAAGGAAAAACTTACGAAGAAAACCCACAGTTTTAAAGGGAAAAATGACTTGCTTTCTGACATTTTGAATCCCCAGTTATATGACCACCTGTCACAATCTTATGAACGACCCAAATGCAGCACTCGAGAAACCACGGAGTATTGGTAATGTACTTTATTGGTAATAATACCAGAGCAGAGGAATACCGGATGATGTACAGGCAAACGAACCGGAGGACAGCGGGCAGAAGGTGAGTCAGGGCCGGGCAGAGGGTCAGGGAGCAGGCGAGGCGGTCAGCGTAGGTACAGGCAGGGTCAGACAGCAGGCAAGGCAGGATAGTCCAAGGACAGGCAGGATCAGGGATCAGGCAGAGCAGGCAGGTCGGGGACAGGCAGGGTCGGAACCGGGTAGGCAATCTGATGACAAACGCGTGAAAGACTAGCATAAGGCAAAGTACGATCTGGCAACGGGTGTGTGTCTGGTGAGTGTTTAAATACTGGCAGTGAAGCTAATGGGTGCAGAAGAGAAAGAGAGTGAGCAAAAACGTGGGTGTGGTTAACAGGTGAGACAGGTGAATGGAAAACTACTGGTGAAAGATGGAGCCGACTGTGACACCACCTCTCTACTTTTTTAATCGCTCTAGCTATATTCTCCATTACGTATGGGGCATTTCTTCCCCTCATCCAAATAGCCCCATCATCTGCTATAGAACCGATTGGATGCATGTGTCTAAGCATGTAAATATGTCATTAATCATGATGTTAAATAATATTGGACTGACTGCACTCCCTTGGGGAATACCATTTTCTATTTCAAAATAATTGGAAATATCTGCTCCAACCTTTACGGCCCGTCTACACTACAAGAGTCAAAAAATGCTTTCAACGTTTCGCCCATTCATTTGAATGGGGTGACGTAGGATATTTTCAAACTTCGCCGAACTGCATTGTGGGTAGCATGGCAAGGCGTTGCAAGCCTCGCGAGCGTCTATCGGCGTCAAAAGTTGAACAATGTTCAACTTTTGAGGCTCGATGCTTGCTCGAAGCTGGCGTCAGCCAATCAAATCCCGTTTTTGCAATTCCCGCCATTACAAGCGCTAGCCAATCAAACCGCGTGCAAGCTGGGAGAGCCAGACCGCAGTTCATTTCCTCATATTCCAAACGAGAAATTACGGTAGCAAATCACTCGGTTTTTTCCGACCAGAACTATTTACCGGGATACAAACCGGAGGAACCAGGCAAGGAGGGAGGTGGCAGAGACAGTGGGTGAAACTGGTAGGTTTTCGCCTGTTTGGGGATTTTATATCCAGTTTACTTTGTTTTAACATTGCTATTGCTTTGTATGTCAGGGGCGGAAGATTCATGTGATTGGTTGTTGGTCGCGTTGCTAGCAAAAAATCGCCAAGCTTCAGACACGCCCAGCTTCAAGCTTTTTCGATGCCTGTAGTGTAGACGGGCCGTTACTCTAAATGTCCTGTCTGTTAAAAAGGCCCTACCCAATTGTACATTCTCCCTCCAATACCCATTCTACTCAATTTGATCAGTAATCCCTCCCTCCACATAGAGTCATACACCTTGTCAATGTAAAAGTACACTATTGCCATTATCTCTTTCATTTTCAATGTTTTTTCCACATCGTTACTCACTCTTACTAATGCATCTATTGTGGACCGCCCTTTACGAAATCCGCTCTGAAAACTACTCAGCAGCCCTTTCTGTTCCAGTACATGTGAGAGCCTACGGACAATGATCTTTTCCATCCATTTACATAGGTGTGATGTAAGAGCTATTGGTCCATAGTTACTAAAGTTAGCTGTACTGTATCTTTCCCTGGCTTATTGAATGGTAGCACGATTGCTGTTTTCCACACACTTGGCATATCTCCTTCTCTCCAGATTTTATTGAAAAGACTCAGCACCATTTTCATAGTTTCCATAGGTAACTTTCTAAACATAGCATAACACAGCTGGTCTTGTCCTGGGACTGTATATCCTGTACCTTGTAAGGCTATTTTGAGTTCTGACATTGTAAATTCCACATCCAGAGCTGACCTATTATCCTGTCTCTTCTCCTTCACGTTTTCATTCTCTGCTAGTAACTGCTGTTTTTGCTGCCTATGAATATCACTGAGATGCTCCCCACTATGTACTGCTGCAAGTGTCCTTCCTAACATATTACATTACATTTAGCTGACGCTTTTATCCAAAGCGACTTACAATTACCAATCACAGGGACATTCTCCCTGGAGTAACTAAGGACTAAGTGCCTTACTCAAGGGCACACTAGTGGTGGTGTTCCTGGCGGGATTTGAACTCACAACCTTCCGATCTTCAGCCCACCTCACTATCCATTGGACCACCACTATCTGTCACTGCCAGCCTCTCCCCATCAACCAAAGCTGGAATTTTAATGGATTTCCTTTTCCCACTCATCTGCTTAAACATGAACCAGACATCACCTAATGTTACTCCTCTGCCAATGGTAGAACACAATTCTCTCCATGTTCTCTTTTTTGTATATTTTATTGTCCTTCGAGCAGCTGCCCTTTTCCTTTGAAACTCTAGAACATTATTTTGTGTCATGTTTTTCTTTAATTCTCTAAATGCATTATTTCGCTCTTTAATAGCCCTGCTGCATTCCTCATTCCACCATGGCACCACTTTCTTCCTACCCTTGGTTGTTGTTTTGGGTATACTGTTCTCTGCTGCATTTAGTATATGTTGCGTTATTTGGCTTGTAATGACCTCTATGCTTCCCTCTCATGTTAGCAGGTGTACCGACTCCTCACACCATATCCTACATTTCCCTCAATCAGCTTTAGCAAAGCACCACCTGGTTATTACACCTCCTTCCTGCATATATACACATTATCATTCATTTTAGTAAGCACTGGATAATGGTCACTTCCTACAGTGGAGTTATTCAAAACAAACCATTCGCATGTATGAACCAAACAGTTTGACACTAATGTCAGATCCAGGCATGAGACTTTCCCCCTGTGTACATCTATTCTTGTGCCATGTCCATCATTAAGGCATACTAGTATTCTTTCCTGCAGCATTTCTTCCA